AAAGACCAGGTGTAAATGCCCTCTGAAACGCATTCGAGACGGATTTAAATCCGATCACTCAAACCACTTCAGGAGGTGGTCTGGGCCGCATTCCAGATGAAACTGGACAAGTGTAAATGCATCTGGTTGTTGAAACCACATATGTAAATTTCACTCCTCACATAAATGCTAAAAAATAAACGTGTGAGAGCGTGTTATATAGGCTATATGTCATGTTATAGTCAGATATGACGTCGCTACTGCAACACGCATTACCGCAGATGAGCAGCTGAGCATCTATTCATCAAGCCAACGTGCAAACTATCGCAAATCAAAGTGAAAGTAAGTCGCAGACGCTTAACACACTAATCATCTTCATTAAAAGTAAAGAAACGAAATTAGCTGATGATCAATAAAATGCAGCTCATATCTGTTGCTTTCGGTGACGTGCACTCCATTAAATCTGCATATAGCGCGGGAATTGAAGATCAGATTTATATCCGTTTTGCAAAAACACATTTATGTGACCAGGTGTAAATGGAATCGTTTTGATAAATCAGATAGCTATCCGATCTGAGAAAACGCATGAAGTGGCCAGGTGTAAACAGCCCCTATCTGGTGTGACCACCATTTGCCTCACGCAGTGCAACACATCTCCTTCGCATAGAGTTGATTAGGTTGTTGATTGTGGCCTGTGGAATGTTGGTCCGACCCTCTTCAATGTCTGTGCGAAGTTGCTGGATATTGGCAGGACCTGGAAAACTCTGTCGTATACGCCGATACAGAGCATCTTAAACATGCTCAATGGGTGACATGTCCGGTGAGTATGCTGGCCATGCAAGAACTGGGATGATCAGATCAGATCCTTGCAACATGGGGCCGTGGATTATCATGCTGCAACATGAGGTGATGGTCGTGGATGAATGGCACAACAATGGGCCTCAGGATCTCGTCACGGTATCTCTGTGCATTTAAAATGCCATCAATAAAATGCAACTGTGTTCGTTGTCCATAACATACGCCTGCCCATACCATAACCCCACCGCCACCATGGGCAACTCGATCCACAACGTTGACATCAGCAAACCGCTCATCCACATGACACCATACACGCTGTCTGCCATCTGCCCTGTACAGTGAAAACCGGGATTCATCCGTGAAGAGAACACCTCTCCAAAGTGCCAGACGCCATCCAATGTGAGCATTTGCCTTCTCAAGTCAGTTACAATGACGAACTGCAGTCAGGTCGAGACCCCGATGAGGACGACGAGCATGCAGATGAGCTTCCCTGAGACGGTTTCTGACAGTTTGTGCAGAAATTGTTTGGTTATGCAAACCGATTGTTGCAGCAGCTGTCCGGGTGGCTGGTCTCAGACGATCTTGGAGGTGAAGATGCTGGATGTGGAGGTCCTGGGCTGGTGTGGTTACACGTGGTCTGCGGTTGTGAGGCCGGTTGGATGTACTGCCAAATTCTCTGAAACGCTTTTGGAGAAGGCTTATGGTAGAGAAAGGACAATTCACGGGCAACAGCTCTGGTGGACATTCCTGCAGTCAGCATGCCAATTGCACGCTCCCTCAAAACTTGCGACATCTGTGGCATTGTATTGTGTGATAAAACTGCACATTTTGGCCTTTTATTGTGGCCAGCCTAAGGCACACCTGTGCAATAATCATGCTGTCTAATCAGCATCTTGATATGCCACACCTGTGAGGTGGATGGATTATCTCGGCAAAGGAGATGTGCTCACTAACACAGATTTAGACAGATTTGTGAACAATATTTGAGAGAAATAGGTCTTTTGTGTACATAGAAAAAGCCATAGATCTTTGCGTTTAGCTCATGAACAATGGGGGCAAAAACAAAAGTGTTGCGTTTATAATTTTGTTCAGTGTATATATAAATAGGCTATATATATATATATATATATATATGCACTACATACATATATATATATATATATTATATAAACACAAAGTTTTATATTAGAATTGATTAATCACGATTAATACAACATACAGTAGTGGACAACAGTGATGTCCGGAAGGGGATTTTAGATTTTAATTACCCTACAAGTTCGATTAAAAATATGAGGAAAATATTTTATATATTTTAAATATTTTCATATTTAAAAACAAAACGAACTTGGTTAAGGTATTAAGGTATCTGACAAACTTATTTGGCAAAAAAAAGGTAATTTACAGCTATACAGGTTTATTTACTATGCAAAAAAAGAAAAATGCTTCGAAAAACAAAAAGCTCACAGGAAAAAGCATACATTGTCTACATAATCAGTTATTCATATTTCATTGGTTCTCTCTTGTTTTTGCATTTGTTCATTATATCTTTGTATGACAGCCTGGCAAATATTATGTCCGTACAAATTGGATTTTTTAAATTGTGTTATCGCAATGTAATGACTGGTCCACTGAAGGCAAGTTGAGAACCCAAACGCAATTTATTTACAAACAAAAAAACATCAAACAAAAACATGGCAAGGCATGAAAACTGACCAAAAACAGGAACACAAACATAGACTTTGGAAACAAGACTACCGGAGACTGGGCATGGAACAAACAATACTCGACAAGGACACACGGCAAACATGAGGGCTTAAATACACACAGGACTAACAACAAGACAAGGGACACCTGTGAACATTTAAACCATTAACCAATGATGACAACATGACACAACAGACAAGGGAACACAAGGCAGGATCACATGACTAAAACATGGGATCACATGACAGACCAGAACCCAGGAACAAGAAACAAACCACCAAAACGTGACACACGAATAAAACAATTGCTCCAAGCACCACTACGCAATATGTTTACAAAATCTTTAACAATTTTTTTAAGAATATTTAAATAAAGGGTGAAGATGTCAATTTTCCTATAGGCAGACATTACTTTTGGCTACTACTGTATATCTGCACAAAATAACTATATATATTGCTGGAAACAGCCAAACTATTAAAACCATTATATTCCATGCTCAAACCATAATAAGAGACTTTGGAAATAATATGATTAGGTATTATTAAGATGTCAATTAACAGTAAAACAGTTTAGATTTAGTTGGGGCTTTCCTTGTGGATGCAATAATCTTAAAAGGTATCTGACCTACTTTGCTACATTGGTGCTCTAAAGGCAGCTCATCTTGAAGATTTTAAGCTGTTGGAGCAATAATTGATTATATTTACAAGCCTAAAACTGCATAAAGCAAGTCATAACTGCAATGCATTTTTGATTTTTGAAATCTAGGTCAGATCATATGCTTCAATTGTATATTCTGGCAGGCAGGTGTTTTCTTAGCATTTTCATACCTGTGTTAACATTCTTCATGCCCTGTAATCTAAGTAATTTAAGTGAATCAACTTGGAATATTAAGCATCAGTTTTACCTATTAATCCAAAATTATCTCCTGATGTTTTTGAATGCTAATCATAGCAGAAACAAGATAGTTAATGTTTCCCATCAGCAACATTACCTGAAATTGCTGAAGGGGAAGCAAGTCTGATCAAGTTGTCTCAGTCATGTGGTTTCCAGGAAACTATGGGAGAGTGCAAGCTCACTTTTTTATTGCTCCTTGGTCCAGGAAGCATGTTGGTGGTGTATATGGGCTCCTATGACAAGAAAAGATACTCAACAAATAAGCAAACTGACAAAACCACAAATTCACATGCACACAAACAAACAGCCCACACAATTAACCCAGCCCTTAACTTTTGATGTACAGACCCTGTTCAAACTGTATTTGGACATAGATAGACATTATAAGAAACGAGTGCAGTGCCCGTGCAAAATCTGTTTTTGTGAGTGTTTTTAGTAATTGTTGGTTTGGTGTGTTTGAGTGCTCATTGTGACAATTACACAGCAAAAGTTTAGTGACATGTTTATAAGTGCATGACTTAATGTTTAGCTGACAGAGTGTTTATGTCAGAATGTTTATTTTTAAATCACAAAAAGTTTAGAAAGACAGACAGATGTTCCTGTAATTTATAGATAGACTAGTTATAAATTACAGGAACATCTGTCCGTCTGAACTTTTTGTGGTATATCACAGGTTTAGGGTTCTTCACTCAATATTAAGGAACCCTTATATGCCAAAAAGGTTCTATTTATAAGGAGAAATGTCTTAAATTATTGGGGGGGGTTCTTCTAGAGATAAAGTATGTTTACAAGCTGTTTAACTTATAAAATGAAATTAAAGTAAGAAATGAATTAAAATAAAATGTATTAATTAAAACTAGATAACTAAAATGATCACATGATGGAAACCCCTAAAAGGTTAGCTATGAAGTGTCAGACAGAAACCTTTACGTTTTTATATAACCTTTTCTTCTAAGAGTGTAGATGCGTAAAATCCCACTATGTATGAAATTTGCAACGCGCTTGGAGGCTATTAGGTGGATACACGATGGAAATCCTCTGCATTTTGAACTGGAACTCCGTCCTCCCCTTGAAATTCACTCCATGAACAATAAATGCAACCAGCCTAAAAGCGGCTTGCTGGTTCTCCCAGCCTACTAGTCAGACTCACTAGACTGTTTGTTAATTTTAGAGCCAATAGCTTAAAACCATAAACCATCCCTGCGTTGTCGTTTGAGTGATGTTCAATCACTCGGAATCAAATAACCACTGAGCATTTTTGCTTACTCTGGGGTGACATCATGTGGTCACTAACTAGTACTAAACTAGAAATACGGAAAAGACACTTCCTTGTCAAGGACGTTCATTGAATTGTGTGTTGTTGTGTGTTTCTCGCTATGGTTTCTCGGCACACCTACATCCTGAAGTTCACTGAAATGATTCAGTAATTCAGTTCAATAAATTTTCGAGATAAGTAAATAATAAAGGCTGACTAAAATAGAGCTTGATTCATAACGGGAGAACCAATTCCATCCACAGTGTAATAAATTACATTTTTGTTTCGTTTTGTAATGGAAAGTACCCACTGGTGCTGACCTGAGATCAGTATTCGCGCTCTTGTCTCGCCTGTTGTGTCGGTTGTACGCGACTATTAAATCTGACTCCAGATCAACCGAAGTTTTAAAAACGCGCACGAGCTCATGATTCAATCGTTGCGCCGCGCGGTGCATTCTGGTAGTAGTTGAAAGATTCAAGATGGCGGCGAGCAGGAGACTACACAAGGTAGACGTCTAAACCTCATACTTTTTACATTGCATATAAAGAGTAACCACATACGACGACGCGATAGGGGTTTAAACATGAAGTTTAACTCGCCGGAAATGCGATTCGCTGGCTCGTTGTGGCTTGATCGACGTTGGTACGAGCGGTTCTCTCACTCGATGACTCGGCTCGCTTCGCGTTTCCAAACATGAAGGAGGAAAAGCGCCGGTGGAGGCCGCGGGACTATAGAACAGGGTTTTGGGGTCGAGTTTGGAGAGACAATGGGTCAAAGTGCCGTTAGAATAGGATTCAGTGTCTTAACAAGTCCTTTCGTTTATTGACTGCAAGTAAATGACTGCAATATAATGTATAGGATTCTAATGCGATGAGTTCCGTTAGAATAGATTTGGTTGCTTGAAACAAATCTGAATACAATAACTTTAAATTAAACGGCTGTTATAAGAACTAATGGATCATTTTAACCGAATCTTAATGTTTTAAACCCACTGCAGTGACGTTAGAGATGACTCAAAGGGACCAAACCAGCAACATCTGACAAATTTAAGCTGAAGTCGACGCTCTTTTTCCGTTTAAAGCTTAAAATAGCACAAATAATTAGACTACTTCTTTTAAAATATGTTTTAGTGTTTCAGGTGGTAAGCTGCAGTAACGCCCTTCATTAAAAACGAAACAGTAACCGACTTCACAACAAGCTTTCGCTTTATGAACTTCCGTCTTGTCTAAATCACTTCATTCCAAACACGTGAATAACCTGTTTTTAACCACCTAGATGTTTCTGTCCAATATTTTTCCGAGGTCAAACTATCTGAATGGTCTTATATTTGAGGTTTTAGGGTGTTTATGTACAGCTAGCAGACTTTTTTGTCACAATGATCATCTTAGCGAGTTTACTTCCTTATTAGATAAGATAGTTTGTAAATGGCAGTCCGCTCTCAGTGGTAATGGTAGGAAATGGGTAATCTTCACAGCCTAGGGCAATAAAAACACACTCTTTCTATAGTACCTGTTTTTCAACATGTAATTGTTGATGCTTTATTTAATACTGTATGGACCTAAGACTAGGGCTGCAACAACGTATTGATAATGAAAATAATAATCAATAACGAATTTGAACAGCTCACTCAAAACACCTCACGTCACTTTACAGGAGTGAATAACATTTCTATAGACAAAACACAACTGAAATATAGCAGTGGACACAGGCTGAGCTACTGTGGGGAACACTGCTTGAACCAAGTTGTCTAAAACACGAGACTGCTTTATATTATGGACTTCCAAGTGTTCCAACAACATTGGACAGGATGTGGAAGAATTACGTTTGTAATATAATAAGTATATGTGTATTGTGTGTACATTTATTTATTTATATATATATATTCACACACAGAAATGCCTTTTTTAATCCGATTAGTCAGAGGAATAATTGACAGATTAATAGATTTTAAATGTAATAATTAGTTGAAGCCCTATGTGGAAGTGAATAGACATCTTCGAAAGCATATGTTAGAGCAATAGTTTTCAGATATAATGTTACATGGTACTTCAAACATTTAAGGTGTGGTTTGTTGTTGTATTAATGCACACTCACTTCGGGTCAGTTATTTACAGTAAGCTGCTGAGGAAGGGGTAATTTCTCCGACTCATTAGGTCAAGACCTGACTCAGGTTACACTTGGTGTCTTGACCATAATATAAGCTGTTGGCCAATATTGTAAACTCAACTGTAATTACTAATTCATTTATTTGCACTTAATTAATGGTAATTGTGCTATAAAGAAAGGTTGTTTTATCGTAAACTCGTCCATCTCAGATTTTCTATATTTCTGCTCCACAAGCAAAAGTTGTAATAACCCACTAGTAGTATCTAACACATCCTTGTTTACAACCCTTGTTTTTATCAGGAGCTTGAAGAAATCCGCAAATCTGGAATGAAAAACTTCCGTAACATTCAAGTTGATGAATCAAACATATTGACATGGCAAGGCCTCATTGTTCCAGTAAGTTTACTAAATGTTCATATTTCATCATTCTTGCATGAATTGTATTTACATGTTATTTGCCTATGCATAGTCAAGACAAGAAATTATGTTATAAGACAGCATTAGGATTTGGAAACACAAATCTGATACATATTTGCATGTAAAATGCTTTATATATGCTAAAACAGATGCCCAAACCATGGTCTGTGGGCCAGAGATGGCTGACCTTTTATGACCTTTTATATATGAAATATGGGGGATGAGAATATAAGTGAATTCGATTTTTTTTTTTTTGTGGATATAAAGCAACATGTACTTTTGGCCCACGGCCCGCAATCAGTTTAGATTTTTGGCACTTTTATAGTATAAAGCTTGGGCACCACTGTTCTAAAACATTGCTTAGTTTCAGTATGTTCATTGTTGAACAGCTTTCAAATGCTAGACTGCATTTAGACCTGGACGATATCCGTGCTTTTCATAATGCAATCAGCCGTATCTGATCTTATACTACACGCATTCAGCCTTCTGTCCCGTTGTCAACATCCATATACAATATAGACTGAGCTGTGCTCACCTCATTTACCTTATTCTCCCACAGGACAATCCTCCATATGACAAAGGGGCATTCAGGATCGAGATCATCTTCCCTGCAGAGTACCCATTCAAACCACCGAAGATCACGTTCAAAACGAAGATCTACCACCCCAACATTGACGAGAAGGGACAGGTCTGCCTGCCTGTTATTAGTGCAGAGAACTGGAAACCAGCCACCAAAACTGACCAAGGTGAGATGTGCTGCAATATTCCTGAAACCGTCACATGAGTCACACTGCTAAAGCTCTCATGTACACTCTCGGTCATGTCGTCATGAACAAATAGAAGTCGTTGTGATGTTGTTTGTATTCACATCTGTTTATATAGTAGGCAACACCCTTAATTTCTTTTTTCAACTCATTGACTACCCAAACATTACATGGATTAATCTTTCATTTTATTTTTTTTTATTATGTTTTATGAAGAAGGGCAGGCTATGTAGTTTTCTCAGACTAAATTATAGAGATGATTTATTAGTACTGTAAAAAATAAGAATGTATATATTAATAGAAATAATCTTGATATACACTACCGTTCAAAAATGTTGGGTCAATAAGATTTGTTTAGAGAAATAATTACTTTGAATCAGCAAGGACTCATTAAATTGATCAAAAGTAGCAGTTACGACATTTATAATGTAGTGCTGCCACTAACGACTAATTTTCTAACGACTAATCTTTCGACTAATTTTTCGATTAGTCGACTAATCTAAACGACTAATTAAAAAAAAATCAAGTGTTTATTTCGTTGTGTCCATTTTATTTTGAACTCAACTGAAGGGCCAAAACATAAAATGTCACCTGTTCAAAAACATTATGTATTAACAATCTAGTGTTGTCAAAAACATCGATATTTCGATAAATATCGATACTGAAATATCTGAACGGTACCAATACTAATTTCCCGAAGTATCGATACTAGCCGAGCAGTAACTTTCACTTCTCTCAAAAGGCGCGTTGACAAACACCTTACGTGACGCACTCGTCTCATTCGCTCTGGTTAAATAGCAAAAGTGAAGTGAATGGAAAGATGGCGAGGGCGGCGCCCCCGCGACCGGCTTTGGTTGATTCCGCGAGCGGGCATGTCGGAGAATAGCGCGGACACGCGTAAAAAACACACCGCGAGCGGGCATGTCGGAGTCGGAGAATAGCGTGGACACGCACTACACACCGCGAGCGGGCATGTCGGAGAATAGCGCGGACACGAGCTAGACACACCGCGAGCGGGCATGTCGGAGAATAGCGCGGACACGAGCTACACACCGCGAGCGGGCATGTCGGAGAATAGCGCGGACACGAGCTACACACACCGCGAGCGGGCATGTCGGAGAATAGCGCGGACACGAGCTAGCCTACAAACACCGCGAGCTGGCATGTCGGAGAATAGCGCGGACACGAGCTACACACCGCGAGCGGGCATGTCGGAGAATAGCCCGGACACGAGCTACACACCGCGAGCGGGCATGTCGGAGAATAGCGCGTAGGCCTACACGCGAGCGGGCTGCGGGCACCCAACAGATTGTTTGACTATCAATAATCCCTCACATCACTCATTTTTTAAATTATTGTATATGTGAAAACAGACTTAAGGAACAGGCTCCAGGGGTAGGCTACTATTTAGCAGCAAATGCTCAGCATCAGGGGTGTTTGTTGTTTGGACAGACCTGCCCCCCCCCACTGCTAAAAAAAAAAACACTGTAACTCTTCTCATTTGAACCTTTCTGAAACATTAACCAAGATGGCCTAGTATTGTTGTTGATAAGAGTCTCTGTTGTCTCGTTTTAATTCTTAAAGTTAACATAATCTGACTGAGGAATCTTAGACAAGTAAATATTGTAACTGTGGTCAAATGTAAATTAACTGGTGCCTATTTAACTTTATTCAAAAATTATTATTTAATTCTGCAATTTTCCTTCATTAGCGATTATCATCAATTTGATTACACAGATATTAATTAAACTAAACAGCTAGACAATGGCATCTCTGAATTCAATAATGACATGCCTTTAACTGAAAATTGAATGTTTAATCTTATTATTATACATTACTGACTCTCTATCCTCCAATTTGATACTGTTAAGTGCTTTTTTGTTACAGTATATTTTAATCTTTGATAACAGTAGGTAATAAAAGTACATCATGTTAGCTCTGGTCCAATTAAAAAATATAAACAAATAGAACTCAGGACATTTTTGTTCATGTAAAATATACCTCATTGTCATGTTCTAGACTTGTTATATTTAGCTTTAAATAAAAAAAAATACCCCCTTAATATTGTGGCAGTTTTTTCTCCGTGGTATCGAAAATGGTATCGAATATCGATATTTTTCAAGGTATCATATCGAAGTTAGAAATTCTAGTATCGTGACAACACTATAACAATCTAAGCATTAAGTATCTGCATTTCCATTAGGCTATACCATATTAGTCAGAGTCCTAATCTAATCCTCTAATAACAAACATGTATGTATTACTTAAATTAGCTCTTTGTTCTGCCTTAAAAAATGTACAGTAAGCTAATAATGATTAATTTATGTACATTTCTGAAAAGCATAACTGATAACATCACTCTGAATAGTAAAGTAGATGCAATGCATTTTCTGTGAAAAGCGCTATACAAATAAATTGGAATTGAATTGAAAGAGTCTGGACTAGCCCACTATGAGTCGCGCTGAAAGCAGGCATGCACGCACGCAGTTATGTAGCTCGCGTTTACACTTGCGTGCATGGCGGGCCCGTGCCGCGGTTCGCGTGAATGTGAAAGCAACACGGACTCGGGAGCGCTTGTTCAGGAAGTTAAGTAACCTGCCTGCCCATGCGTTTTAGCTGATTATGATGCATTTAGTTAAATAAAACACATGTAAGGGATGATAGTGTTGATAATTTACCTTGGATACGCGAGAGTTGAGTCTGCAGTGTATTCGCGCATTGCGCGTGCAATCAGGGCAACACATTTGGAAATCCACTGTCTCCTCAAAAGAGTCCGTTTGAAAAACACAATATATTGACCCGTGTTCTGTTTTCTATCATGCGCCGTGCACGTTTGCGATAGCATAAGATGCACGCAAACTCAACAGGGTTCGATAGAATTGAGTGTGAAACCAGACCAACGCTGCGGGGGGCGCCGGGAACAATCGGGCGCGCGCTCGGACTCGGACCGCAGCAAACGAGCCCACTGTGAAAGCTCCGTCACTTGCCTCCGCAATTTTTCATATCAAAGCAGTGAAGGCCGGCGGGAACGTGAAGGAAAATGATAGCAGATAAACCAGCAGGGCGCGCACGGCGCACAGACTGGTGTGTGGAGGTGAATTACAGTGAGCCGTTTGTGACGGGAGACCAAAAATAAATAGGGGTCAATAGTAAAACGACACGTCGACTAAAAAAATTGCCGTTGACTAATTTGCATGGTCGATTACGTCGACTAAGTCGACTAATCGCGGCAGCACTATTATAATGTCATAAAAGATTTCTATTTCAAATAAATGCTGTTCTTTTTAACTTTGTTCATCGGGGAATGAAAAAAAAATGAAAACAATGTTTCTTGAGCAGCAAATCATCATATTAGAATGATTTCTGAAGGATCATGTGACACTGAAGACTGGAGTAATGATGCTGAAAGTTCAGCTTTGCATCACAGTGTTAAATTACATTTTAAAATATTTTAAAATAGAAAACTGTTATTTTAAATTGAAATAATATTACAGTTTTTACTGTATTTTCAAACAAATAAATACATCCTTGGTGAGAATAAGACTTCTTTTAAATGCATTAAAAAATCGTACAGACCCAAAAATTTCTCCAGGAACAGATGTTCAAACAATCTTTCAACATGTTTGTGATCGTTTTACGGCATTCGTGTAATGTCACGCATTTCTTCAGAAAACTAGATTACTCTTACCAAGTTAAATCATGCAGTACTAAATTACTAGTTTATAAAGTTGTTTTGGGTGTTTTTTTGGGATTTTACTCAGTTTTGTATTGTGGGTGTATTATTGATTATATTAAAGTACACTGTAAACTCAGAGAAGTTGGCAGAACTCAAAAAAAATGTGAGGTAATAAGTTAAATCAATTTTTAAGTTAAGAAATTCAAAGTTTAAGCAAGCAGAGTTGAGTAAGCTAATTCATACATTTAACTTAAATTATCATGAAATCTCAACTTGCCTAGCTTTAAGTAGCTAATTGAGTGAATGCTAACTTGCTAATTGGAAACACAATTCTGTAATAGCATTAGCATAGCAATTGCTGAATAAGTACAGCAATATAAAACATTTAACATATACCTGTTCTCAAACCAAGCTAATGCTCCACTCGTCACCATAATGGTAACCCCAATAAATCCAACATTAAACATTTCTAAGGGTGTATTCACACCTGCCTTGTTTGGTTCGATTGAATCGAACTCTAGTTCGTTTCCCCTCTTGGTGCGGACCTTTTGGGCAGGTGTGAATACAGCAATCGAACTCGGGTGCGGACCAAACAACCGAACCGAGACCCAGCTGAAGAGGTGGTCTCGGTACGGTTCCAAACGAACTCTGGTACGGTTCGTTTACGGTGTGAACATGAACCGACCCAATTGCAAGAAAGCACTGCGCCTTTGAGTTAACAGGCTTCCGTAGTCGGAGTTGCGTTATGGGAAAGTGATCTGTTGTAGCCTACTACATTACATCTGTTTCGCGTCTCTCTGCGCGTCGTGTGTGCATCATTGGAATGGAATGAATGAATGAGTGTGTGCATCCATACATTCACATACAGAGCGTTCTCTTTAGTCTAATCGCGCATAGATGCAAAAAAAAAAAAAAGCATTTGCAGTTCATATAATGTAACGATAGTTACAATACAAGGATGATGCTGCGTTAATTTACGTTAAGCCTTTTTTGCACTTCCTGATTTCCCTACTTGAGAATCCTTGTCCAATGAATGGACGACCTTAGCACACGTGTGGTTTTGTTTACAAATTTTGGTTCACTTGCAAAAAGAGCAGTGTGAAAGCGAACCGTACCAAAAAAAAACAAAAAAACAATGTATTTGGTCCGGACCAAAGCAAGTGAACTATCGGACTTTCCTGGTGTGAATACACCCTAAATCCCCCCACTTTACATTAATCTTGCTAAAAAAAACACATTATAAAACGCCTAATTTTAGCATTTACTCTCCCTTTTGAGTGTCATCATCATGGCAAAGCATGCTGGGAAATAGAAATCCCAGCCCAGTTTCAGTTAAATTGAAGTTTGTCTAAATTAAAAGAAACAAGTTCATAAAACTCAAAACAATGAAGAAATTCAGATGACTTAAAATGTGTCTCTTTTGTGAGCTCACAGAAAAATGAAGTTCTAAATACTCATAAAAGTTACCTTGATTGAACTAATTTGTTTAATTTAAGTTTACCCTACTCAAATCAGTGAATAATTTTGAGCGTTAGGGTTTACAGTTTCGTATAGTACATTCTTATGAATAATGGGGTTCTTATTTCCTGCCTAACCAGCATTCTTTCCCCTTCTTTTACAGTAATTCAGTCGCTCATTGCCCTGGTGAACGACCCACAGCCAGAACACCCTCTGAGGGCCGACCTAGCAGAAGAATACTCAAAAGACCGTAAAAAATTCTTTAAGAATGCAGAAGAGTTTACAAAGAAACACGGCGAAAAGCGGCCAGTGGACTAACAATACCAGACAAGTGTGTAGCCCCAGACCCCCCCTACTCCTCTGATCCTCTTCCCCTCGCTCTACTACCTTCCTCCCAATACCCAATTGCCATCCTCTATCCCTCCCTCCCGCTTTCCCTCCTTCTCCTCTCCTTTCCACGTGTCACTCTAGTCAAGCTGGAGAAGTACTGCGCAGCTGCAGCCTCCGTCTTGAAGCAGGACACCGTGAGGACATCCGAGTTTCTGGTGTTAGCTTGAGGCCCTTACTAACTTTTTACTATGTTGTTTTTTTTTTTTTCTGAAGTTTGAAAGCATAAATTTGTTGTTAGAGGATAACTTAAGAGAAAGAAGTTGGAAATTGTACAGGGCGTTTCAGTTATGAATGCTGTTTGACCCTTTTGTAATGAGAAAATGAATCATTGCATTATTACACAAAACTTTCAGAAATTACTTTTGGAAGTGACAGTTCATTTAAAACCAGATGGATTGTAATTTATCATGTATATTATTATTATTATTATGTTGTTCCCTCTTCTTACATGTGTGTTCTTTGATTTCCACAATACAAAACAAAACGGAGACATTGAGGAGGAATGGAGGTTAGCCAGCTGGAGGATTTCAGCGAGGGCAAGCGATTATTTTTCATATAACCCTTTTACTTTCACTGCACTTGTTGGGTTGCACGGTATGTCTGAGGAACAGGCTACTTTCAGCCCCTTTCCAAGCCTCGAATCGGCAAAACCACTGTAGAGTCAGAAACAAAGGCTGATATTGCTATGAAATACTTTTGTTTCACAAATGAAAAAGGAAGGATGAAAACAATGCTATTTGTGTGAGTGAACGTAATTTTCCATGATGATGATCACTCATTTTAAACATCTCTCTTTTAACGTGTTTCATAGGAGATTCTTGTATATTATTGATTATTTGGGTTTAAACAGGGAAATGGCCCCTAGATTTACAGAGATGTACGCTACTGAAGAATATTATTCTTATTTTCTCCCAACACAGAATAAACGCAGTAGTTGACCGTGAGTTTTCTAGAACATTCTCTTTAAAGTATATTATTCAATCTGTCAAGAGTTTAACTTTGGTTTTGACGCCACGCTTTATAATGCAAACTCGACGAGGTTCTTTGGGCTTTCTTTCGTTCAAGATATTTAAGTAATATTTGCTTATGCATTTGGGTGAAATCTCTTGCAGTATGCCTCAAATAAGCCCCTTGCTCTCTTCACAGTGTCATTTTCTTCTTCTTAAAGGCTTATTTTTGTGCAGACTTTAAAAACACTCCCTTTTGTGTACCAAAATAAAAGAGGAAGACCAAGCACGGATACCTGTTATACTCAAACATTGGCTAAATTAACTTTTTTTCTCTCTCAGGTTCTACCTCTTAAAATCAACCAATCAAAATATTTTTTCTGGGATGCCCCAGTTTAAATGAGCATTACGGATTTGTGCGATGAAATTAAATTCTAAAAGAGTTCAGCGATTGTTTAACCTGAATATATTAGCATTAGTAAACGATATATTTATGAAGACTACTACTTAAAGTCCGAACTGTTGCTTCAATTACAGCTTACATCTGAAATGCCATTAATGGCCTGAATTTAATATACACAGGTTATAAACATGTTAACCCTAATATGTGACAAAAGGTTGAACTCCCCAAATAAAGGCTATTTTGACCTAGTTCTGAATGAGTTTCAATAGGATGGGTGATCAGTGTACAAATACATACATACAGGTGAAACTCGAAAAATTAGAATATCGTGCAAAAGTTCATGTATTTCAGTAATTCAAATTCAAAGGTGAAACTAATATATTTAGTATATAAAACTATATACATATGCATGATTATACTTTTCAGAGGGCCGACATTTCTGTATTTAAAATCCTTTTTTTTTATTGATTTCATGTAATATTCAAAATTTCTGAGATTTTGAATTTGGGGTTTTCATAAGCTGTAAGACATAACTTTTGCACGATATTCTAATTTTTCGAGTTTCACCTGTATATTGCACATGCACAAATACATTTCTATGGTGCCATTGGCTGGTCTAAAGTTCTGGTGTTAATCAAAAGTACATAAAAGATAAAGTACCAAATTGATGTGCTTGTACAATACGGTATTTACTTTCGACTCTAAAGCATAATACTTGTTCCAAAGCCTTTTTTCAAGTTCCACAAAGAAATCCAGAGTAAATGGTACTGTGCTTTTAATTCAAGTTAATAAAAATATCATAAATACATTCATTAAAAACATTGTACCCAAAAAACACCATTGAATTTTTAAATATAAAGTAATCGCTACATGTTATGTTGAGTTAAAATCTTCATATAGTATGTTACAGTCATAAATACAGATTGCTATTGGATTCTCTGCAATATTTGAGAGAGAAATTTCAGCTCAAATGAGGCAAAAGTTTTCTAATCAAATCCAATTAAAATGGCACCTTCCTATTATAAGAACTGGTCTGGAGCAGCTCTCCGTCTTAAAGTGAATGGCTGTTTTTAAAAAAAAAACTTAAAATACAATTTAAAAAAGGTCAATCTAATAACTTAGGTTTTTGTTGAAAAATTGGTATAATATTCTTGTTTTGGCTGTACTTTAACAGGCAGTAGCTTCAAATAGTTTAGTATGGGCTTTGTAAGCAGCACAGATAAACTGAATGCTGATTTTCTGCCTTTTCCCAAACCAAGCATTCATACTATAATATAAATAATTGATCTTTTGAGGTATGGGTCAAGATCTTATTTCCTAACAGCAGACATTCATTCGGTTTGAAACGCCCCAAATACTCTGCTTTAAGTGTTTAAAAGTCTTTAAAGGCACAGAGGTGGATCCCCTGTTGCCTGTAGTAGTGAAGCACCAAAGGGTCCCTCAAAGTATTCAGCTCGTGCAGTCGGTCTGCAGACTGTGAGAAGTCATCTGGTCCTTCTCCACATCCACCCTGCTGATGCTGACTTGGATATCCTGGATGCACCATAAGCTCTGCTGTAACTGGTCGATAGGAGTCGGTCGCGGCGTCATCGGACTGCGTCAGTATTAATGGGGAAGTCACGGCTTCATCCAGTGAAGCTTCCAGCGCGAAGCCCAAAGCGCGTTTTAGGTTGGGCACAGACATGTTCTTACCCATGGTGCTTAGGCCCAGGTATACATCAGGCCACCTGAGGAGTCATACAAAGGATTTAGTTGATTAGATTTCATGCATATTGTGTTTATACTGTGCCTGCTTATGTGAAGGACAAAATCGACTATTTATAGACTATTCAATGTTCATGTGTTTTGAAGGCGGCGATGAACTGATAACTACGCAAGGATATTGAAGACTAAAAAAAACATCTGAGAAATCTTGGAAAGCAAATGCTGATCCTTTAAAATGTTGCATCACAAACCTAATTCCATGGCGATGAAAGACCTCGATAGATTCAAGGGCATCTTTTTTAACCCGTGTGTTGAAGTCTCGCAGATGTGATGGGAGGAAGGTGCAGGATTTAAGATCAGGTTCTATTGGGACCCGTGTGTAGGTGACCCCGAAATCAGAGAGAACTTGGGCGAACACCTCTCGCACCTCTGAAAACAATGGGGAAAAAAGTTCAATATGAAAAGAAGACAACGTAACAAGGAAATGTAATATTTGTATTCAGCAAGGGAACATTAAACGGATTAAAAGTGACAGTAAAAGCATTTAAAATATTACAAAAGGTTGGTGAACATAAGTGACATTAAAAACCGTTACCAACCTAAAACTTATAAATGATACACGTATAAAGAATAAAGGTTCCAAAAGGGGAGTTTTGCAGCGATGCCATGATGAAAATAAAGAATGTTTATGGTTAAGAGTATGGTGTAGTTCAAATAAAACACTGACACACAGGCGGACTGATTGGCAGCCATTAGAAGGTATTAATAGTTATTAGTATTGGCTCTGCACCCCTATACCTAAACTCACACTACTTCAGACCTATATGCACTCTAGAAGCTTGCGTTCTGCAAAAAACGGCACAAAATGGCTTTCACAGACCTTTCCCTGGACTGTTCCCTGCTGGTGGAACGACCAGCCTAACTCAACCCGAGCCGCTGAGTCTTTTGCCACTTTCAAGAAGTGGCTAAATACGCATTCAGAACTAGGTTGATTGCTTCTATTGCTCTACTCATTTGTAAGTCGCTTTGGATAAAAGCGTCTGGTAAATGATTAAATGTAGATGTAAGGTGAAAAGGGTTGTTCAAACAGTTACCTGGCAGCACGTGCACATGCTGATGGCCGTCCATATGGTAGGGCATGTGGCCAACCAGTTCACAAAAACGATTTACCTGGGCTCTGAGCTCCACCTCCACCTTATAAACAGACAAAACAACACAGGAAAACAAGTGTTTTAAATGGTAGTGCTGTGTTTGGCTCTGAAGTCTGAAACTTTCAAATGGTTTCATACCGTATATTTAAAGAATTTATGGAAAATTGGCTTATCCTTGATGTTTGCAAATCAAAAGGTTGGTTGCACTTTATTTTACAGTACGTGCACTTTCAATGTACTAAAAGTATCCTTACCCACTAAAGTACTGAGTAGTGTAACTGTAAGGTAACTACATGGGTTAATTTAAGGTTTAGGGGTAGGTCCAGGGTTGGTACCTAGTTAGTGTCATTTACTACAATAAGTACATAGCATGTTCATGTGAAACAGGACTGTAAAATAAAGTGCTACCAACAGGTTAATTTGTAACAAAAAACATACTGGAAAAACTTCCTCCACAGCCCAATAACATCTATTGAAACTAAGCTTTATTAATAAAAGAAAACGGTCAAAGAGAAGGTGAAAATGGTAAATGATGTGAAAATATTATACATGTTTTGGGCACAAACCCTCTTGACTAACATTAGTGAACTTTAAAAAAAAAATTAATGATAAAAATTATGAAATTATCTTTATTGGTATTTATTATTTGCATTTAGGAATTCTTGTTTTTAATAGGCCTTTATTGGATATATAAGTTCAACAATACCACACGAGCAAGAGTGCTGTTTTCCCGAATATCAGCACGATTACAAATGTGGAAATAATCCATCAGTTCAATAAACAAGTAATCAATATTAGGCAACTTACTTTTTAGACAATTTTTTAAACACAGAATATTGTCTGTTTTTGTCTATTTCGGCAATAAAAATAGTTCCAAACAAATCCAAATGTGTCTCTGACGGTTTTAGTTTCATATTTAAAAGTATCATATCAGTGTTTCCATAATTACACTTCACTATATTTAACCCTCTGCTATGGTGTTGTTCGGTCATTTTAGACAGAATTTTGTTGTTGTTGTTGAAATTTTTAAAATCGCTACTTCATTGGAATGGTACGAAACTCTGTGACATTTGCGGCAGTCGCTATGTGACCAGAAGAAACAATCGTGGACTTGATTCGAAAAAGCTAAATGGTTGTAAAAAAAAGTCTCACACTTTTGTTGTTCGCGGATTTTTGACCGCCATAATAAATAAATGGGAAATATTAAACAAAAATACAGAGAATTTTCACGATGTAGAGAAAAGTGCACAGGGGTGAAACTCTCAAATATCAAGAGTGCAAAATAGACACATTCCACTATTAATGAACAAAAATGCTGAATATTACACTGATTTTACTGAAAATAAAAAAAAGTTACATTTCACTTGGTCGGTCATCATCCTGCAAGAAAGACTGTACGCGCTTGCTGTCATTCCAACCAGACATTATGAGATTGTTGGATAAGGATAAACTTGTCTGGAGCTTTTGGAGCACTCCGTCATCGGAAAGCCAAGGTCTATTTGTATTCATATTGTATTAGTACTAATTCCTATTACATCCATTATCTAATCCCTCTTCTCTTTGCTCTCAATGGTTATAGAGATAGAATTTGTTTATAAATCGAATATTAAGTGTGAAATATGAGATAACATTATAACAGAGATAATAAAGTAATTGCAGTCGCATTGTTTTTCTCCAACAAAGGCCACCTCTGATATAACATGAATACAATCCTATTCACTGTGATGTAAACAGTGTCACATAGACGCTGCCATAGCAGCGTTATGGTTTAAATTTACTCCCATGTGCTTTTTGGTTTGGACTTTATGGGTGCGTGTTCCTGTGTACCTCTGACATCTTGAGCTGACCACTCTGCAAAACTTCCCTGAAGCCCATCTTCCCATGGAAGAACCCATCCTTGTTGAGGATTGTTGAGCCCTTCAGTTCCTGAGACACTGGAAGACCCTCCGAGAGATTTGCATGGAGTCCGATGGGGATGTGATACCTGTGCGTGAGAAGCAGTGTTATTTTAGATACTATTATTGATTTTAATAATATTTTGAAGTCTTTTTTGTCTTTATGTTTCATTTTAATTATAGGTGTAGTACTTTTTTTTTTTTTATATATATATATATATATATAACTGGTGAGTATTTTTAAGTAACACCACAGGCACAGTGTGATCTCACCATGGGAAAACCTCAGAGTAAAACTGGGAGTTGTGAAAAATATAATACACCGGTGTTTGCCAGATGAGAAGTTTATCTATGTATCATCTTTTTAATCTTTTAATTCGTTTTATAACTGTGTCATATATCTCTTTTAATTTCTTTTATAACTGTTTTAATTTTCCTTGCTTTTAATTAGTAATTATTTTAAATCCTTTCCGTAAAGCACTTTGAATTGCCATAGTGTATGAAATGTGCTAAATAAACTAGCCTTGCCTTGGTGCAAAGACATGAAGAGTACATTAACATCTGTACTTCTACCCTGTCCTGTTTTTTTATTTATTTACAAGTAGGCCTAATCTTATCTTTGGCAACAGGTTTAACAGGCTCACATGTCATAAGGGAGAGTATCACAATACTCAGACTAGGATATCAGATTTCATATTTATCTGCTTAAACCAAACGTAGTTTAGAAATCAGCTGCTGTACCTTTTGGCCAGGTCTGCCGCGTGCTTCGCTGAGACTGCATTCACCAGAAGAGAGACATTGGAGATCGCACCAGCTCTGAAGCAATCCACAATCCCTTGATTTCTTCTCTCGCAGTAGCCAAAATCATCTCCCGTCACCACCAGCTTCACCTTGGGTTGAGGCATCTTCTCCTCGCCTTGCTGATGAAAAAGAAGATCAACCAATATTGATTTGATTGAAATTATTCTGCTTTTTTTTCTTTCTTTCTTTTTTTTTTTTACAATTAGAAGAATTCTGTTTTTTTTTTTACATAATGATAATAACTAATGGATCTTTAGACTTTACTACAGAATTAAATTATTTTATAAATAATAATAATTGTTGCTACTTCTGGAGTTATATGAAATTGTTTTGCCTGATCTAAAAGGCCACAAATTTATTTTCATATTTGTTTGTTTTAGGCTTTCTAATTGTAAAGATATTCATACTTTAAAATAAATTGCTGATTTCTTTTAATGATTATTTTTATGCTAAACAGAATTCTAATTGGTTTTTTTTTTTACTTTTTGACAATAATAACTAATGTATAATTAGACTAAATATTATTAATTAACGTAATAAATTTTATTTATGCCAATTGTTGATTAAAATGTTGAGAAAGTAGGCAATCAACGCAATAAATAAGTTACTCTACCTGTTGTTTTGTGTCACTCTTTAGAGACTCATCAAACGGTGAGGATTAAATGTAAAATGTCCGGGGGAGATATATATCTATAAAACCGATTATCTATCTCTAAAAAAATAAAATTCAAACCGAACAGAAAAGTCTTGGGTGAATCGTCTTGAGATGGAAGTACAAGTCATTCACACAACAGGAAACAAAATGACACACGTCATTCCAACATCATATGTTTAAAAGCGAATCGAAAGGTCAGTTTTAAACGCGAGTCTCGGTTCGGTTGCGGGAAAGCTGCTTATCACAACCGGGAAATCACCGGCGAATAAGATAGATCTAGAAGTCTGCCTCCTTATTCACTTCATCCGTGTTAACACGAACAGCTGCCACTGCCTAAGTTACCCATGATGACCACATTCAGGTAATCGCATCTACAGATATACACAGCCCAATGACAAACTCGGTTTAATCTATTAGTAGCCGGGATTCTAAGATTCAAACATATATCTTATCATTTCAATGGGACGAAATCTGTTTTGTAATATACGCATAGCTAATAGTAATAATGTAGTAATCGCTTACCCATTTTATTGCGAGGTTTTTGCCATTAGTCCATTTTTATACTGTACCCATCCAACACAGCGCGGAGCGACTGACCGACCGAAGACATTAATGCAATTTCCTTTTCCGGAGTTGCAGCGCCCTCTACAGGATGTCAATAAAACAACGCCACATGTACAAATAGGCCCATGTACTGTAGTTTCCAAATCCTGGTGGATGTAGAATATAGATATATAAAGCATATTTGATGAAGTTTTTAAAAACGTTTACCCTATATGTGTTAAAGTCAAGAATCTAGAACCCCACTGAATCTTTTCTAAAAGTATTTTTTATACTGCGAGAGATCAAGAGATAGGCTATACTTTTGAAGCTGAATCTTAAAATTTCACATACACAAAGTATATCTTATTTTAATATATTTTACACTACTCCTTAATATTCAAATGCATCCTAGGAAGAATAGAGACTGAATAAAAAGTATTTTTGAGAAATAACAAAGAGTTAAAATAAAATATTGCAAACATTTATGGAAGTTTATTTTTTTATTTTTTTATTTAGATATTAATTATTAATGGGGGTGGGGGTGGGGGTGGGGGTGGGGGTGGAGCCCACTCTTTCAATCCAAACACCCCCATCCCATCCCATCCCCGGAATGTGATTTTATCCGAGGGGGATAAAGATATAAGAATTGTTTGCCCCCACATGAATCACATAGCATCCAATGGGCAAACAAATAAACTGCCTGACTAATCCTTGTAAAATAAGCATAAGCTTAATTTCAGTTGACAATGATTTATTTTTATAGGTACAAAATAAAGTAGTGGAACACACCATTTTGTGGAAATTGATTATTTAATAAGCTGTAGTGGAGAGCGGGGCTAGTTGTCACAAGCGCTATATCTTAGTATCTCTAATGTTTTGAGGCTAAAGTCTAAAATTAGGACTGCACTTTACAGTCTTGGCTAAGCAAAGGGAAATACAATAAAACATTTGGATACATTAAGCCAAGGTTAATGAGGTACATTTAACCAAATAGTTGAACTGTGCAGGTTGTCACACACTGAAAAAAAAAAAATAGACACAATTTTCAATCCAAAATTGCTAGTAAATTTCACAATTGATTACAAAGAAACTGCAAAGTAACACATTGAATTAAAAGTGAAATTTGAAAGACTGAAAGAAAATCCGTTTTTGAAAAGAAAAATTATATGCATGTTGGACTTGTATACAATTCGTATTGTATACAATTAGCCAATAAGCAAATATATATATATATATATATATATATATATATATATAGGCTATATATGAAATGATAGATTTATGGCAATGGATTAATTTTTTTTATGTTTGCTTGTTTTTTTTCCCTTTTGTACCTGTATCTATCATCAGAATTGTTAATTGAATTGTAGCTGTTTGTAAATGTACAAAAATTAATCCATATTGAAAACTAAAACTAAAAAAACAGTAAAGAATAATAATATCAACAATAATAAACTGATATTGAACTACTTACATTTTAGCAGTTCTTAAAAGAATAATGTTTGTATAAGTGATTCTAGATATGATTCCGTTAACATAACTTTCAATAATAACTTATAACAAATATGTGTAAAATACCCATGCATGGATACATATTCAAATAGACTTAATAAAACATTAATAAAAGTGTCGTGATATTTCTAACTATTTGAATGTGAACTCATTTTTTTTTTTTTTTTTATCCATGCCGTGAGAACAACAGGTAGCCTATTGCATATTTAAATGTGAACTAAATGGACTCTACTTTATAATGTAAGTAAGGTCACGTCACATCATCCTCGACCAATCACTGATTTCCGAGTGTGCGCGCGGATCACTTCCTTGTTTTCGGACTTGTCATGATGCGATTGGTTAGAAAGCGTGTCAGCGTTTGAATGGGGCTCACCGTATCCATTTTTTTGTGATGTACATAGACACTTGCTGTAACAATGGGACCATTAAGAGTTCTATCTGTCTTTCTGGGTTTAATTTTAGTATGTTTCATGTTTGCCCAATGCGGGGCCAGTGATTCTGACTCCAGCTACGTGACGTGTGGATCCCTGATCAAACTGATGAACACACGGCACAGCGTCAGACTTCACTCTCATGATGTCAAATACGGATCAGGTATAACTTTAACAATTTGGTTAACGTAACTTATCCCTCGGAGGATGCTTATGTTGTAGTCGACCATTTAATATTCACTTTGAGCCTTTTAGTCACTCATATTATTGTGCTTAGTAATAATAATGCCTGCTGGTGCATTAGCCAGGAAGCTAATGATGATTAGTAATATTTCCCATCAGTGATCAGCAAAGTACTGTATCTGATTTTCTGAAAGCATTTATAGACTCTTATTCTGTCTCTTATTCAATGGTTTTATTTTTGTTGGTTATGATATAATAAGTCTACCTGAAGGATTCATGTAATCATGACGACAGGTGCACTACAATATGTTACTAAACAAAGGTAACATGGTAATACCATTTTTGACGTGCAATGGTAATACTATGGTATTCCTTCGAGTGGCATGAGTTTCTTAGTTCGAAGTGGCATTAAATGCTTTAAAATTGTACTATTAACAAACATATTATTATATTACAATAAGGTTCATTAGTTCACTACATTAGTTAACATGAACTAATAATGAACTGCACGTATACAGCATTTGTTCATCTTTGTTAATTTCAACATTTACTAATACATTATTAAAATCTTGTTAACATTAGTTAATGCACTGTGAGCTAACATGAACAAACAATGAACAGCTTTATTTTTATTAACTAACATTAACAAAGATTAATAAATACAGTAACAAATGTATTGCTCATTGTTAGTTAATACATTAACTAATGTTAACTAATGAACCTTAAAAGTGTTACCATTATTATTAATAATAATAATATATATATATATATTATAATAATGAGTGATATTTCACTCAGTGGATCCAGATATTTTAGCCGTTCTTTAGGTAAAACTGTTTGTATTATTATCTATATGCTTCTCTACATAAATTGACCAATAGTGAATGTTCACCCTGAATAATAAAGATAAATAATATAAATTATTAATAATAATCCAGGACCCTCTTGCAAAAGAGATTATAAATCTCAAGAGGTTTATTTTTATCCTGATTAAGTAAAGATTAAATAAAAATAAATTGATATTTTACTCCGTGGATCCAAATAGCAGGAAAATGTTGTATAATTGATTCTTGATATGGTAATGTTTATATAACTTCTAACAGTATAATTATAACAATAATAACTAATTATAACGTGCAATTAAAACATTTGGAATGTAAATACATGAAAAAGCTATGATATTTGATAACTGTTTGTCAATATCATGTATTTATTTAAATGTATCATAAAAAGCTACTGTTATATTCTCAGAGTACTATGTAAATGCAGTGATAAATGCATATGGGATGTATACATATATGCTCAAATGTACCAAACATTTTTTACACGATACCCTGCAGGTAGTGGCCAGCAGTCAGTAACAGGCGTGGATTCGGCCGAGGATGCCAACAGCTACTGGCGGATCCGTGGGAAACCAGACAGCGTTTGTCAGCGCGGGGTGCCCATACGGTGCGGAGAGGCCATCCGAATTACACACATGAAGACTGGACGCAACCTACACTCGCATCACTTCAGCTCCCCGCTGTCTAACCACCAGGTACACCCGCACAATACTCTCCTAACTTAAAGGGATACTCCACTTTTTTTGGAAATAGGCTCATTTTACAACTCCCCCAGAGTTAAACTGTTGAGTTTTACCGTTTTTGAATCCATTCAGCCGATCTCCGGTTCTGGCGGTACCACTTTTAGCATAGCTTAGCATACATCATTGAAGTGGACAAGACCATTAGCATTTCTATAAAAAAAAATGACCAAAGAGTTTCGATATTTTTCCTATTTAAAACTTGACTCTTCTGTAGGTACATCGTGCACTAAGACCGACGGAAAATGTAAAGTTGCGATTTTCTAGGCTGATATGGCTAGGAACTATACTCTCATTCCTGCGTAATAATCAAGAAACTTCACTGCCGTACCATGAGAGCAGCAGGCGTAATGATATGACGCAGCGCCTGAAAATAGTCCCCAGCTCGGTAACTTCCAACATGACTGGGACTAAGTGCCTGCGCCTGCTGCACTCATGGTACGGCAGTGAAGTTTCTTGATTATTACGCAGGAATGAGAGTATAGTTCCTAGCCATATCAGCCTAGAAAATCGCAACTTTACATTTTCCGTCGGTCTTAGTGCACGATGTAACTACAGAAGAGTCAAGTTTTAAATAGGAAAAATATCGAAACTCTTTGGTAATTTTTTTTTTATAGAAATGCTAATGGTCTTGTCCACTTCAATGATGTATGCTAAGCTATGCTAAAAGTGGTACCGCCAGAACCGGAGATCGGCTAAATGGATTCAAAAACGGTAAAACTCAACAGTTTAACTCTGGGGGAGTTGTAATATGAGCCTATTTCCAAAAAAAGTGGAGTATCCCTTTAACCTACATGTCCACTAGGTGGCTTGATTTGAATTATAACTGTAGTAGAGCATAACCCAGGTTATTACAAGCGGTTTTGTGTTTGCAGGAAGTGAGTGCGTTTGGTGAAAATGGAGAAGGAGATGATTTGGACGTATGGAGCGTTCAGTGCAGCGCAACATACTGGGAACGCGACGACGCGGTGCGATTTAAACACGTTGGCACTGAGGTTTTCCTCAGTGTTACAGGAGAGCAGTTTGGTCATCCAATCAGAGGCCAGCGTGAGGTCCATGGAATGCCTTCACCCAATCAGCATAACTACTGGAAGGTGATGGAGGGGGTTTTTATTCAGCCCAGCAGTGATCCTGTGAACCATGATGAGCTCTGATGATGCACTGTACTCCACTCACACATGCTGTGAAACCTTCTCTATTTAAACTTTCAGTTTCTTCAAAGTTTTACGTTTATTGGTCAAACTCAATTGTGTGTCGCAATTTTTGAGACAAAACTCACCCACAAAATGCACATCACAGACAAAAAAGACGAAAAGGTTTGTTTTACTAGATTTCTTATGATTGGAATTTGTCTTTTTGTATATAAGGGAATAAAATGACTTTACAAACCAGGATTTTGGGCCAAATAAATTGTGTATTTTGTATTATTTATATTTAGGATGACATATTACTAATAGAACAAATTGCATTAATAACTTGTACTATGAAATACTGTAGTAGTTTTGTGCACATGAAAGATTTGAAATAACTGTTTTGGTTTAAGGTTTCGATATAACTGTAACTCCCAGTAGTTGTTTCCCCCCTCATACTGTATATGACCCCATATGTACATAATTTGGTGAAAGCGTAAATAAATTTTTTGAAAACTTTATTACATTTTTTATTTCAGTTAAAGCAACGAAATATGTTTTGGTAACACTTTACAATAAGGTTCATTAGTTAACTACCTTAGTTAACATGAACTAAGAATGAACAATACTTCTACAGCATTTATTCATCTTAGTTAATATAAATTTCAACATTTACTAACACGTTATTTGTAGGGTGCTGCCCCTTTAAGGATGTGTATTCGGTGGGCGCGTGATCGCGCATGTAAAAAAAAAAAAAAGAACCAAACCAAGTGAATTGAGAAAGCACTGTTGATGCTAATTTGCAGATGTTCTATAACAATTTAGATATAATCTAACTATTCTATATAATCTATAACTATATTTCCCAGCGTGGTGAGTAACATTTTGTTGTTTATAAATATATTGATAGATCTATGTAGATCGCTAGGCCTATTTGCGATTAGCGCCTAAACGCCTAATGTTATTCGTTTGTTTATTATGTTTGGTTAGACATTTACGGTTTAAATTGCATATTGAAATATTCGTGCTATATGTGTTGCATTTATTTGTTAAAGTTTAATATATATTTGTAATACAGTGACTGTTTAGACTGTCTGTATTGACAGTTGTATCACACATAGCCTATGTGATAATGTTTCATGCATGCTAATATGTGATATTTGCGTTGTAGTGGAGATCTTTGATTTATAAGTATATATATTTTAATGTTTATCATTTAAGCTGATGTTATGTTTGTAGAAATATATTTGGAGAAGTGAAAACATTACTGGATAGTACTAATTCTGAATTGTTTGTGTGTTTACAGTTTGACCGCAAATACACTTACTTCCAACTACAGCTAAATTACAACAAAAAATGTAATGTGTATATTGTGAGTTCTGCACAAGAGGAATAAAAGAAACAAAACAAGATCCAAGCTAATGTTATCATTTTATGGGTAACATTAAAGTCAAACACGAGGAGTTAAGAAGATTAATGACAACATGGACCAAGATTCAGAAACAAGTGTTACTCCTGATCAACAACAAAAATGTCTCAAGCGTCAACGTGGAAGTGCAAAGGCTGCAGTGACACGCTTGATGACACAGATTACAACTTCTATGAACTGTAACCAGCCCAAAGAAGTGGAGATGAAACTTCCTGCTTTGGATGAGGCAGTTTTGCGGTTTAATGAGATTCATGACATGTACCATAAAACATTAGAAGATGATGATGACGTTGATGCTTCTAAGGGCTATTTAACATCGGTCCTGCGTGATGTTCAAGACTTGCAGCACACAGTCTTGAGCTGGTTTGACGACTTTAAGCCATCAATGGAGGATCCAAACATAGAATCTTCAGATGCACTTAACTTCCAAGAGGAAGAGCCAATGTTTGATGAAGCCGTTAAACCTCCAATGTCTTCTGTAGATCAGCTGTCTACCCAGCTTCAAGGGCTACAAAATCTAAGACAAAAAGAAAAGGAAGAGTTTTCCATGCTTATTGCTCGACAGGAAGAACGCCTACGTGCAGAGTTTAAATTACAACTTCAGCATGCAGAATTTGAAATGGATGGACTGAAAAGCTTACTGAAACTCAAAGACGCTGAGATGGAGGAAAATCGTCGAAAGGCTGAGTTAACAACAATAAATAAAGACTTTTCCACTCCTGTCTCAGGTAACCCATCCCTTAACTTTCGTTCCTCACTTTCAGCAGTGAACGAGAATTCTTTATGCCAACTACTAGACCTGTCAAGGCAACAATATCAGTCACACATCGATTCCATGCATCTACCACCAGTTGACATCATCAAGTTCGATGGAGAACCCTTAAAGTACTGGCAGTTCATGAGATTGTTCTCCTCTGTGATTGATAAAGAGACAGTGCCAGATCAAGAGAAACTCACTCGACTGCATCAGTACACTGTCGGCCAAGCTAGAGATGCTATCTCACATTGCTTGTACAACCCCAACTCTAGCCTGGGCTATGCTGAAGCCATGGCCATTCTGAAGAGACGTTTTGGCAATCCATATGCAATATCACAAGCATGGGTTGACAAGGTGCTTAATCACAAAGATATTAAAGACAACAAGCAGTTGCAAAGCTTTGCTGACATTCTGTGCAGCTGCCGAGACACTTTAAAGGCAATGAAGTGTGAGGAAGAACTGAATGGTGGACGCACTTTGCTACAAATTGTGGAAAAGCTACCTGAAGACATAAAGAAAAGATGGCTCACAATAAACTATGAGATCATCAAGTCTGGTCGTTTGCCAAAGTTAGATGACATAGTCAGTCTTGTTCAATCAGAAGCTGCTAAGAGAGCAGATCCTATCTTTGGGAATCTTCTTAGCCCTGTCAGTCGAAATTCTCCAGCAAATTCTAAACCAAGTGCTAAGCCAACTTTCAATAAGAAAAAGCAGACATTTGCAACAGTGTCAGTTGCTAATGAATGCACCACACCAAAGACAACATCAAGATTTAAGTGTCCAAAGTGCACTGACGGACACTTTCTGAACCAGTGTCAAGCCTTTAGAGCTCTGTCTGTTCAAGAGCGTTTGGCCTTTGTTCAACAAAAGCAACTCTGTCTGAACTGTTTCATGAAAGGTCATCGCAGCGCAGTCTGTACTCGTAGCTGGGTATGCAAGGTGCCTGGATGTGGGAAAAAACACAACAGTTGGCTGCACTCCGCCATCGTAGCTTCTGACAACGACGACAAAAGCCAATCTACTAATCAAGCTACTGGAGGTGAACCAGCTGCTGACCCGCCTCAAGCCATTCAAGCACATGCCACTAGAAGGAGCATTGAAGCCAGTCGAAAGAAGATTGCACTTCCAATCTTGCCAGTAGTGGTTTCAGACAGACACAACCGATTTTCTATGAATGTCTTTGCTTTGCTTGACAGTGGCTCTAATGGGACCTTTGCTTCTAAGAAGTTAGTTCACGCTCTTAAACTGGAGTCACGCAAAATGAACATTAAACTGAACACCATGGAGACCAAAAATCTCAACGTAGTCACCTTAGCAGTGGACCTACGAGTTGAAGATGCTCAACAAAGGAACTCTTACTTAATGAAAGGAGTGCTCTGTCGGGATCACCTGAACATAAGTCTAGACAACTTTGTCACACAGCATGAGGTGTTCCAGTGGCCACACCTGAAGGAAATTGCGGATGAAATCAGTTTACCTGACGTTGATCTAGCTGATGAGGTTCACCTGCTGATAGGTCTAGACCAACCAGACATACTTGCTCCTCGTGAGACCTGCTGCGGTGAGTCAGGCGAACCTTATGCGATTCTAACTGGCCTGGGGTGGACACTTCATGGGCCAGTAGCTGATGGTTCAACATCTATTTCTGCCAATTTCATTCAAACTGACCACTCTCTACAACAAGCTGTTGAAAGATTTTGGAAACTGGATGATCCAGTGCATGTGAACAATGACTCACTGTCAGTAGTCGATGAGCAAGTTGTGGACCTATGGAACAAGCAAGCAGTCAAAGAGGAAGGTCATTATACACTACCAATCCCTTTCAAAGAACATCCACCAAGACTGCCCAATAACTACGGAATGGCTAAACATCGATTAGACCTTCTAGGAAAGAGGTTAAAGAAGGACCCGATTTTGCATCAGAAGTATACAGAAGGTATCAGAGACTCTTTGCTGAAAGGATATGCAGAAGAGGTCATTGACATTAACAGAGACGATGGTTGCGTGTGGTATCTGCCACATCATCCGGTGCTACATCCGCGCAAGCCTGGGAAGGTTCGTATTGTCTACGATTGTGCGGCACGGTACCAAGGTACTTCGTTGAATGATCATATTTTCCAAGGCCCAGACCTTACCAATAAGCTACTAGGAGTTCTTCTCAAGTTTAGGCAAGAACCTGTTGCTCTGAATGCGGACATCGAGAGTATGTTTTATCAAGTCCGAGTGCCATCTGATGAAAGAGATGTGCTTCGCTTCCTGTGGTGGGAGGATAACAACCCGGACAAACCACCTAAGCATTACCGTATGATGGTTCACCTTTTTGGAGGTGTCTGGAGTCCTAGTGCTGCCAATTTTGCCTTGCAACGAGTGGCTGAAGACAACCGTGGAAGCTTCTCTAATGACACCGTGGAAACATTGAAGCGAAATTTCTACGTCGACGATTGTCTTAAGTCGGTACCAACTGTGGAGGTCGCCATTAAACTTGCTTCCGAACTCTGTGAGCTACTCACCTGTGGAGGCTTCAGATTAACCAAATGGTTAAGCAATTCTAAGGAAGTGATGAAATCAATACCAGCTGATGATTGGGCAAAGTCATTACATGAGGTCAACCTTGACCAGGAGGATTTGCCATTTGAACGAACACTGGGTGTCCTCTGGGATGTTGAAAGAGATTGCTTCACATTCGATGTCAAGGCAGTGGACAAACCTGCAACAAAGAGAGGAGTATTGAGCACTACCAGTTCCATCTATGATCCTTTAGGATTTGCAAGTCCATTCGTGCTCAAGGCAAAGGCAATCTTTCAAGAGTTGTGCCGCATGAAAGTCGACTGGGATGAGGAGGTACCGGTGGACATAGCAGCACAATGGCATAGATGGTTGAATGACTTGCCACTGTTGTCTGAGCTGAAAATTCCGAGATGTCTCAGACCAACATCCTCTAGTTGCTTGTTAGCAACCCAGCTCCATCACTTTTCCGATGCTTCGGAACTGGCTTACGGCGCTGTTTCATACATCAGGATTGGCGACACCTGCAGGCTGGTGATGTCAAAGGCCAGACTTGCACCAATCAAGCCAATTAGCATACCGCGTCTGGAGCTACTTGCAGCTGTAGTTGCTACGGAGCTGGACCAGCATATCAAGCGCCACTTGGAGATTCCAATTGAAAAGACTTTCTTTTGGTCAGATAGTACCATCGTACTTCAGTACATCAACAACAAGCATTGTCGTTTCCAGACATTCGTCGCCAACCGTATTTCAAAAATACATGAGCGTTCAGAACCATGTCAGTGGAGACACATTGACTCTGCTTCTAACCCTGCGGATGATGTCTCTCG